TTCACTGAAGTCAATAAAAAAAACCCAAACATGCAAGTCCAAAAAAAAATAAAAATAAAAATTTAAAAAAAATTACAAATCGAAAAATGTTAAAAAAAAGGTATTTTAGCACTCATAAAAGACGCGCATACCAAATTGCTGGCAATCTCGATCCACCAGCTGACCGACGGCTTGTTAATTGAGCGCCAAATTGCCCACCGCTAAATATCAGCTGATGGCCATTGATCTCTTAAATTACTGTCTGCTATACGCGTACATCCATATTGATGGTCTTTATATACGCTATACATATGCATGTACATCTGTACTTTAGGGTGGGTCAAAGAAAACGAATTTTTCTTTTCGCTTGGTACTCTGAAAAATAGGTTCTTAGACCCCTCTAAGAAATCACTCCAAGCATGAGCTCTTAATTCTAACGAGAAGGTACTCTGCCGTACAATTCTCTATTTCTTGCTTATTATCAGATAGAAAAATTCAAATCTTGCTTCCAACTACTTGAAAAAATATCTCGTTTCATAAATTTAGGAAATTTTCTGTTTTTTTGTAAAGCAGTAAATTTCCTAAAAGACCATGAGCTTGGCAAATTATGATGTTTTTTTTCATTGAGTTATTAATTTCAAAAGAAAAAAAATGAAATTTGCCTTATATTAGTCAATCTGTAGATTATAAAAAAAAAAAAATTTTTTTTAACATCTAGAGGCCAACCCACTCAGTTTTAAAGTAAAGTTTCGTTAAAATTTTTATTTCGTAAAAAAATGTTTGATAAGTGTTCTGGAAGCTGTGGAGAGTCTTCTTTCTAGCCAATTAAAAGTTATCAACTTAAAAAATATTTTTGTGTTCATTATTGGAGTTTTGAAAAAAAATCTTAAACGACAACATTCTTTCCTTAAGCTAGATGTTAAAAAAATTATTTTTGTTTGTCCAAAAAAAAACAAATTTTACCCTCAGGCTAAGCAAAAAAAAATTGTTTTCGCTCCACCCTAATGCATACATTACTTTGTTCGACGTCTGTAAGCGTCTTGTAATTATAAAAGCCAAATGGCCCGTCGATTTAGTTTGATGAATTTGATAATGATGTAAATGAAAGAGATAATCAAGCCACACAGAGTCAAGCGTATAGGTATATTTACATTTGTGCGCGAATGCTGATAATAGTCGGAGTTGCGCGTAATCGCCATCGACACTGTTATCGCTGAAGTTGATAATGATGACACTGCATTAAGGCGTCTCTGGTGTATTGTTATTGTGAATTTATGGCAACGACCGACGTCAACGGTGCCAAATGCGCTGCACCCATGACAACGCCACATCAGCGATTACTGACTGGAGATGAGGTTTGACAAAAGTTCGATTACGTTGAATTGCCTTAAAGACATGCAAGTGTATAAAGATTTGTATGCGTAAACTCAAAATATTTTTGTTATGTGTAGGTGTGAGGCTCCGGTAGAGAGCAAGCATCGGTAATCCGAAAAAAATTTTCTCTTACTCAAAAGTGCAAATTTAGTTGGAGCACCGACTAATTTTTTCCATGGTTCGGTGCATAAACCCTGATTTAAGCGCTATTTTATGAGCTATCGCCAAAGTAATCATATCTTAGTTTTAAACACCTCGTTCTATTTTAAGGAAATAAAGCTCGAACAACTCTCTTCCAGAAAGAAATTTGAACAATGGAGATCAAGTTTGCGGTCTATTGAATATCCAAGAATTTTGCTCGGAGCGCTTAATTCGATTGCTGTATAAAGTTAAGATAATATGATGTTTTTTGCGCAGATGAAGTTTTTTTACACTGAGCCATGCTCTATATAATATTTTTACTACTAGAAAAGTTGAAGAAAAATATTGGTTAAGATTAATTTATAGCTCAGGTAAAACTAAACCACTAAAATACACATATGTGACATAAAAGAACCCAATTTTATAGAGGATTAATCCTTCTCTGGGTTGTAAGAAAGTTTCTATATAGTGAACCGAGTGTCCGTTATCTCTTTTCAATAAGAGATCATTTTAGTGTTTGCTTTTGACTCTACAATATAATACCGTCTCTAAAAAAATCAAGTTCAGTTGTATTTAAGCTACAAAAATTGTTAATCTACATAAACTATAATCTCAGATGTATTACTACAGACAACGACTGTTTTAGAACACTTTCGGGTTCTAATTGTACGGCTGATACCAAGTCTGAATATGTTTTTTTTTTTTAGATCTTGGCTAATAGTATTGAGATAAAATAAGAACCAGAATAATGCGGAACAACTAATCCATCCAAACTCTGTCAAAGATTAGCAATGAAGAAAATTGGCATCTGAGACCAGCGTTGTTGAATACCTAAAGGGAAATTTATTTGTTTGAGCATACTTTTGCCACTTGCTTATAGAAAACATATCAACCAGAAGACGATGTCTTTGTTTATGTTTAGGTGAAACATTCTTCATTGCAGTCTGCTGACACAGCCATGTTTCAAAATGCGCCAGAAAATTCTTGAAAACTATAAAGAAAGATTAGAAAAGAAATTTATGAATCAATAAAAAGAAAAAAGTTTCGTAAAATAGAATAAATTCTTAAATTCTGCATTTAAAACTCCCCCGCAACAGTTTGGAATCAGAAGCAAAACAAAAAAACTAAAAATTATAAAAACAAAAACACACACACATAAACTAACGCTCACTAGACAACAAATACAACATTATTTTTATGCTTTCAAACACTCGAGGAAAATATTGTAGCAACATTTGAGTGAACAACAAGAGACCCACGACGACAGACATCACACATCAACAACAAAAACATAAACTTACGACCGGCAATGCTTAGATAATATAAACACACAACTGCTGACGCTGTATCTTTTGGGAAATTCGGTCAAGGTTATTTACAGACAACGAACCATTGGACTCTTCTGGTTGTTGCTGTTATACACATTATACGTATATATGTACAATAGTTATAGGCACTAAGTTCTTAAGACCTATAGATAGCATTGACACATCTATTGTGTAAGCAAAAGTGCCCTTAAGAAAATGTTTAGCTTAAGTTTCAAAAAAACAAAAAATTATAATAATGATACCAAAGCAAAGCCAATAAAGCAGAAAAAGTCGGATATCCCAATTTTAGAGGCCACCATATTAAGTAAACACTTCACAGTGGAGTGTTTTTTCAATTAGTTGCACTACTAGCACTTCTAGGCAGCCAAAGGTTGCTTGTTTGCTCAACATGAAGATATATTTTTGTTCTCGGTTTTCCTCTTTCATAGGGTCCTCAGTTTCTATTTTGCCTTTGAAATTTTCTTTCAATCACTTAGCGGCGTGCCGTCTTCGAAAATCGACACTTAAGTAAGAGTACTTATTTGTAGCAACCATATTTCAGCACTTTAAGGTAATCAGGCAGGAAATTTATAGTCATAAATTTTGTCTGTTGTCGAGATTGTGGACCAAATGGCTTTTGGGCTTCTAATGAAAACATATTCACTACTAAGTGGGCTATTAAAAAAGTGTGTTTGTATTTGTGTTGGCCGACGTTTTGTTTTGAAATAAATCTCAATCTTTTTGTGGATTATAAATTGGTCGATAGTGGGTATTGAACGTATTTATGGATGTCAGCTAGATAAATGATGATTCATAAAAAAGGAAAATGTAGACGGCTTAGTATTTGTGTAATATACACAAAAAATTAGAGATAAAAAATGCTAAAATAAATTATGCTGGCCTAACGGTATTGTAGATTAATTGTACTTTTCTTCATATAATTAATTTCTTCTCTCAATCTTCCCGACTATTGAGTCAGTACATGAACCGGCACAAAGTTTTGCTTTACCGTAAGGGTCCAAAGGGTAGTAACTACTAATTTTTTAGAGAGGGATATGCTATAACGGGCATAATAAATTTTCTAGTTTACCTGCGATTGACCTCAAGCTCCCCAACGGTTCAAAAAGAGTACACTACAAGAGGAGTGAGATAGATAAAGAGAGAGAAAACTCACACTTGCTTCCAGTCCGTGAATAATGACAAGAGATTATGTCAATCTCCTCTGCCTTACAATTTTCAGGGATTCCGCTATGACCCAGCACGTATACTAGTCTAATAAATAGAGAAAAGTGCTGTTGTACTTTGAAAGATAATATGCATATACAGAAAATTCTCTGTATTACTGAAATTAGAGTTAAAAGAGAGCGACAGTAAACGCTACCACTCACCACCTCACTGGATTTCGAACCATTTAATAACAGACTATTGTCATAATAGTTTAATATTTTATTAAATATATGTGTTAATACAATATTTAGGAATTTTATAAAATAGTTTATTTGCATTTTTAAAACTTAACCTACAAATTTCATTAGAAAAAAAATTAATCTTTTTAAAATTTGTTTACATATTTCATACAAATTAAATTCTACCCACCACAAATTTTCAAATTTTTCAAACCCATCAGTGCCATTTACTTTTATTCATATATGTATATTCCCAACAGCGTCGCCTAATATATGGTATGTCACATATTCGTATGACACCCATAAAATTACGCACAAACTCATTTCATTTATCACTCCCTATGTCCCTCCATTTGTCATTTCCTTAACGCACCTTCCCTTTTATTTTCAATGATAATGCGAAATTCTTAACATTTTCTTTACAACCGAGTTGTCCTTCAATAAGACAATTCGACGCATTAACTGCGTTTTTTTTTTGTTTTTCGTGTGCTTGTTTTCTTTTCTTGCGTGGCATTATAATGTCGTGCAATTAACTGTGCTGTCGTCTTTAATGGTTCCATTTGAAAGACACCTTGACTTCCTTTTTATATGAAATCAATAATTTGGGTGTGTAATAGCCGTATCCCGTGACCTTTATCTGTATTCTTCTCGGTTGTTTACATTTACTTTGACAGCTCGTAAATTAGTTACAATTACGATGATGTCAACTTCCAATTTTTGTAATTTAAAACTGAACTTTATTTAAGCAAAAAAATTCATGATTTTATTTTTTACTTTTTCTATTTCTTTTTAGAACAAATCTCAAGTGGTGGATCCCATCGATTTTGAGGGCTTTGTTGCGAAAAACAAAATGCTAATACAAAATGATCCACAGCGAGAACTCTTGATATATCCCAATGACGATGTGTCGGTAAGTCTAATGTATTCTGTCCGTTGAGCTTATAAGTATTTAGCTGGTTTTATTACTCTTGGTTTTGCTTTTTTTCTCCGATCTTTTTAAAGATTTGGAACAAATAAGTTGACCGAGAAAACTCATATGTCCACATTATTGGCTATTAAAGCAATAATAGTCTATTAATTCTGGTTCTGGCTGTTCAAAACTTCATTAATCTAGTATTCTCTCATCTTTAGCCACTAGTTCACCTTTCAACCGATTAAATTGCTTATGGGTCGTGTCAGATTGCTCTGATTTATATACGAATCCAAGCCATTATCCCATTCAAGTAGACGAGTCTTTAAACCATAGGAGCTTATAAATGGTACAAGTTAGGTAATGATCGACAATTTATCTGTTACTTTTCTCAAGACAGTTGAATCTACGTAACCGATTCGAACAGAGTTTTATGTCCGATCAGCAACTGTCGCCTTATTTTCCAATGCAATTTGGGTAATGGTCTAGGCCGTTACAACAACAAAATTAGTAAACTTTTGTCAGAACCTTAAAATTCGAACTCTCCAAAAATAAGATCTTTAGGAATTTTATTATTTGGGGTCTAAGGCTTTCTGAATTAACGGTAAGGACGAAAATTGTTTCCCATGACTAATTTTTGGTGCTTATGCGATTTTGTTTTATCATTGCTTCACTATGTTTTCCCCTTAAGATCAGCTAAAAACAAAATTTAGCTTTCCATTTTAAATCAAGAAAATTCTTATATTCCTTATACTCTTAGGAAATCGTCATGCCTCGCAAACAGCGCACAAATACCAAATCAATTATCGACCGGTTCGAACCGCCTAACGAAGCTATCATTTGTCCATTACACGGTGGCACAAATGGCAGTTCTAACGGCTCAAGTAGTGCTTCCATTTCACGCCAGAGTAGTCATACAAATAGTCCCAAGACGACACAACGCCAATTTAGCAGTCAATCCAATGCAAATATACAAAACGGTAATCTCTCGAGAAAAAGCTCACAGAGTTCATCTACAAAAATACAGTTAACCATCAAATCACCAACTTCCTCACACGAATCCTATGAGTCTGCGCTTTCGACTGCATGTTCAGTTGGTGGCAATCTGACTACCAACTCACATTCATCCTCATCATCAACATTGAAATCGAATATACTCGCACAACCCGAAGAAGATGAGGACTTGGACGGCTCGGATGGTGCGGATGGCATGAGTAGCAATGGCAGTGGTGGCGGTACACGCGCCGAATGTACGCGCTTCACACGTCAAGCGTTGTATACATATCGTGCCAAAAATCATCTCATACATTACAAGTACAGCGCTTACGGTGGCACATGTCATGATTTGCCAAAGTAAAGATTGTCAATGCAAATAGTATTGTTGTGGTTTCTAATTTTTAATGTGAAATAAATTTACAGAATAAATCCACCCGAAGCTTTGATAGAGGAAGTGTATGAGATTGATGCCGATCAGGATCGTATTGACGAGCAAATGACACGATCTCAAGCTGATTCGATAACCAAGCAGGGATACTTGTTGAAGGGTCCCGACTCGGGTTCGGATCGCATGTTTGTCAACATCGGCAATAAATCCTTTAAAAGGAGGTGTGATGATTATTTAATTTGGTTTAGTTGAAACGGCTGTTTCATTTATATTAGTTAAATGATAATTACTACTTCATATGTTGTCAGGTATTGCTATCTGCGCCAGGAAGTGGACGGCACCTACATACTCGAATTACACAAAGATGAGAAGCAAGGTGAGGCTAAAGCAACAATAGTCATGGACTTTTGCACGGAAGTGGTGCAGGTAACTGTTCTCTCTGTTGTTTATAACAATAATTTTACAACAAATTCCTTTGTCTGTAGAATCCGAAACGCGGACGCTTCTGCTTCGAACTACGCATGACCGCTGGTCATAAATCGTTTACGCTCGCTGCCGAAAACGAAGAAGAATTCAAGGATTGGCTAAGCAAGCTTTCGCTGGTGTTGCAACAAAACAAGATACAGGAGGATAAGCGCGTTGCATCACTGGAGCGCGCACCGCAACCTAGCACCAGCACAGTCATCTTCGGCACACTAAAAGGTCTCGATCAGTCCATGAACCCGCAATTGATTAAGTACGGACGTGAAACAGACATTTCAATTGCGCAGGCGCGGCGCGAGCATCGCCGACGTCTATTCGCTTGCTACCAAACGACGGGTAAAGCAACAAGCACCGATAGCGTCGATCAGTTTCGTGAGCAATTCGGCAAACGCATATTTATAGCCTGTAAGGGTTTACGTTTTCGCTTGCAATGCGCTGGCACAGACGGACTCGATGGCGAGAATTTATGCCAAGTGGAACCATACATCACCAGCTTAGCGCTGTATGATGCACGCAACGGACGTAAATTAACCGAATCATTTTATTTCAATGTTAACGATGACACTGTCGGCGATATGCTGCCCACGACGCCAGTGCCAAACTCCGTGTCGGCTTGTTGTGTGCCACAGCGACGCGGTGATGAAAAGGATGAACGCGCGCGCAGCAATGGTGGTGTACGCGTGCAAAACTCGTTGCTAGAGAATCTCTCCGGAGATTTGCTGCGATGCGGCAAAGAACACTTCGCGCACTTGCGTCAGGCAGTATTCTCAGTGACAGCGCCACATCCAGATATCTACTTGGTGCTAAAGGTGGAGAAAATACTGCAAGGTAGTATAGTGCAAGCGGCAGAGCCGTACTTGAAGACTGGACGCGATCCAAAGATCGCATTAAAATTACACAAAACAGCGCGTAATTATGCGCAAAACATAGGGCACTATCGGCAGCCCTTCGCTTGGGCGGCCAAACCGCTCTTTCGACTCTACCGCAACGAATTGGATACGGAGAATAATACATTTGAATTGACGACCATCTACCGACAGGAGGCGAATAAGTTGAAGGATGAGGAACTGTTGAAATTACTAGCGGAATATCGAAAGCCCGATAAGCTGAGCAAACTCACAGTTATACCGGGTTATATGAAGCTAACCATTGAAGAGGTGGAGAAGGTGTCAGGTGAGTGAGTGTGTGCATTTAATTCATTTCAATTTGCCATTAGCTCTCATTTACTACAACACACACATATATACATACGCAGGTTCCTTTACTAAGTCTTTAGTGCCGCTAGCTAACTTCACATTTCCACCCAAACCGCCCACGCTCGAGCTGACCGAATTCCAAAGCAATTGCAAGCGCGACACCTATCCCTACATAACATTCTGCAATCACTTATTTGTCTATCCGCAGTACTTGCAATTCGATAGTCAAAAGTTTTTTTCGCGTGCACGCAACATAACAGTGGTGGTGGAGTTGCGCGACTCAGATGAGGAGGGTAGCAAGCCATTGAAGGTGTGTAGCGCAGTATTCAAAATCTGTCTTATTGCTGCTAAAACTTAAACTCCCCTCTGACATTTCTTGCAGTGCATTTATGGTCGCCCTGGTCATGATTTCCTAGTCTCGCAAATCGCTTGCCCCGTGCTGCATCACCACACCACACCCACTTGGTATGAGGAGGTGAAAATGCGTCTGCCATTGGGGCTCTTTCCCGAACATCACTTGCTCTTCTCCTTCTACCATGTATCGTGTAATTTGGGCAAGAAACGTGATGCCAATGCAGCTTTTGAAACACCCATCGGTTATGCTTGGTTGCCGTTATTGCAGAAGGGGCGCATCAATCTGGAAGAGCAAGCCATCGCGGTAGCGGCGACACTACCTGCGGGCTATTTGTCGATACAGCCATTGGGCCTGGGCAAAGGGGTAAGTGTGTGACACTCATAGTTGGAAGTGTAAATACATTTTTGTTTTTTGTGACTAAAGAAAGAAGGTTCGTAACACAACTGGGAGTTCTTTTTATATATTGTTTTAATATTTAAAAAGCTTTACATATATAATTTTTTTTTTATTTTGTAATTTTTAATATTTTCATTGATGTTGTCATTTGTTTTAATATTTTAAAATATTTATAATTAAACGTTTTTATTTATAATTTATTCTGACTTAATTCTGTTTTTAATTTTAATAAATTAATTTTTAATAATTCTCTACGAAGTATTTATTTTTTTTTGTTCTAATTTTTTTTTTTGTTAAAATGTATATATGAATATTTTTTTCTATTTTGTTATTTTACTTTGCATTTTTAACTAACCTATTTTTTTTTTTTATTTTATCCCATATACATACATTTTCACTCTTTGGTTTTATGTATATCTTAATTCTAACAAAAACAAAATACATATAAATGTTCTTCACATTTATTTCTATTCATCATTACTCACTTGGATCTTCTTTGTCTTGTTTTTCCATATTTTTCATGCTTCTTCAAATTCTTGTGCGTGTACATATGGACTAAAAAAATATTTTAATTTGGCTGCAACACCAACAAAATTTCGTTTTCATACAACAAAAATCATTCCCAAAAAATAAATATAATAAATAAAATACATAAAAATATAAATATAAAATACAAAAATATATATATGTTTAAATATTATTATTATATTAAAAATAAATATTAAAATATATAAAAAAATAAAAAAAAAAAATATATATGTTTAAATATTATTATTACATTAAAAACAAAAATATAAAATAAATATTAAAATATATAAAATATATAAAAAAATATATTAAATATATATAATATATAAATAAAAATATATAAAATATATAAAAAATATATAAAATATAAAAAATATATATGAAATATAAAAAAAAATATAAAAACGACGAAAAATTCACAAATAAATTATACACAAAATTTAAATCATTTGAAAATAAAAATATTTTCCCATAATACAATTACTAAAACAAAATAAAAATTTATATAAAAAATTTGAACACAAAATTCAAAAACAACTTTTTTGGAAATCAATTAACAAAAAATATTAAAAATGTTTTAAAATAATGACTATAATTATTTTAAAATATAATAAACGCTTCCTCGGTGCCATAAACACACACACACACCCACACGTACACTTGTGCTCGTCCGTCAACATATATACGCTTGGTTTACGATCATCCCGGTGTCCATACGCACTCTATCCCTCTCACTGCCACACTTCCTCGCGCGCTCTCTCCCTCTTTCTATCTCCCACTCTTTGTCTACAAAACATTACCATATTTCCAGCAGAATTGCGGTCCCGAAATACAATGGATCGACAATCAGCGCTTACTCTTCGGCGTTGCCTTCCGCATGGACTCAACCGTACTGACCGCCGATCAGCATTTGCATAATTTTTTCGCTCACTGCGAAAGACTGTTGGAGGGCGGCAAAACCACAGCGTTACCCGCTGAATCGGAGACCTGTAAAATACTCAAAGCAGCACATGCGGTCGATATCAGCACGCTGATCAATTTCCTGCCGACCGTATTAAATGAACTGTTCACACTACTCGTGTACACACAGTCGGAGGAGATCGGTTTGAATATCATACGCTTACTGATCAACATCATACACATGCTGATCGATGAGGCCGGTCGCAAAGAGCTACTCATGGCCTATGTTAAGTATGTCTTTCATGCGCCCTACTACAGTCAGAAGACATCGCGTACGGTGCACGGTGAGTTGTGCAAATATCTGCCGACCATTTTGCATCCGAACAATACCGATTTTCTGATTGTCAATAAGTTTATGCATTATTCGGGTATATTCTTCGATTTGATTATAAAAAGTATGGCGCAACACCTATTGGATACGGGGCGTATACGTATGCTGCGGAACGAACGATTTCCCAAAGAATTCCCAGCGCGTGTTGAGAGCTTAATAAAGGTGCTGACTTCATATTTGATCTCGCGCTACAAAGATCTGCCTGTAGAGACGCAACAGTTGAATCGTTCGTTGTCGCAATTCGTGCGTCGTTGCCTCAGCTACATGGATCGTGGTTTTGTGTTCAAGTTAATCAAATATTACATGGAACAGTTTGAGCCGGGCGATCAGCGTACGTTACAAGAGTTTAAATTTGATTTCTTAGCTGAGATTTGTCAACACGAACATTATGTGCCGCTCAATTTGCCATTCGTATTGAATCCGAAGAATCGTCCCCCAGAAATGATGCTACACTTTACACTCTCTGAGGAGTTCTGTCGCCAACACTTTCTTGCCGGTTTGCTGTTGCAACAGCTAAAACATAGTCTGAACGAAGCGAGCGCGGTGCGACGGCACGCGCTGCGCATCTTTAAAAATCTGCTCGCCAAGCATGAACTCGACGATCGCTATCAGAATCGTGGACAACTCTCACGCATAGCGCTACTTTATGTGCCCTGGTTGGGTATTGTCATGGAAAATACGCATCGGATCGACGATATGTCTGGCGTGGCAACGCCTAATGGTCACGTCTACGCCGATTCGGCATCATATACACAGCGCTTGTCATGTTCCAGCAGTTATGTGTTCGGCAAAGACACAGCCTTGAATTCGTCAACGTCTACGCCGCGTTCGAAAAATCGCATGACGCTGCATATTGAACATCCGAGTCCACTGCGCGCCTCAGTGTATGTGAGAGATACGGTGCATCCAGGCACAGCGCCGCTCGCAAATGGTAACTCGGAGAGTTCGCTAAATACGCTCAATTCCGATTCGCAAAATTCACAAGACACGCCCACTTTAGGGGCTGTCACAAATGGGCACCATGTTACCGACTTGACTGACGTTGCCATGCGCAACGGTCACAACCGCTCGCTTAACCTTATGCACGGTTTGAATAGTTTGCCGCGTTGCGATAAATTCAATACCGCGGAGAGTAAAGATCTCTTGCTCGGTTTTCTATTTGTCGTCAAGCATTTAGCGCAGGATCAAATGATCGGCTGGTGGCAGAATTGTACCGAAACTGAAACGCTGGCTTATCTCAGCATACTGGATTTGTGTCTGGTGCAATTCCGTTACGTGGGTAAAAAGCATATCAATTTAGCGGACGATGGTAAGGAAGCGCGTGCGGCGCGCACCGCAAAGGCCAGTACTTTACCTGCGCGCATGCAGCCGCCAAACGCAGAGCAAGCGGCTAATGGTAATGGCACAGCGCATGAATCAGGTACACTTAATCATACGCAGAATCGTGAAAATCTTGTTGAAGAGACCGCGCGCAGCCAACAGGCGCTTTACGAGTCCAATTTGGCTACCGAAATTGGTATGATCATACTCGATAGTCTCGGCTTGTATGCCGTACATTTTCGTGACAAATTATGTGATAGTCTTGTGTTGCCGCAGCTGGCGCGCGTCTATCTACGTTTCCTGCAGCTGGGCCAGTCAGAAAGACTGTCGAAACATGTGTTTGCCGCTCTGCGCGCGTTCATTAACAATTTCTCACCAGCGCTCTTCAAAGGCAATGCCACGCTATGCGGTCAAATGGTTTATGAGCTGTTGAAGGGTTGCGACAGTCGTCTAGTCGCAATACGCCACGAGTCATGCGCCGTGCTTTATCTGCTGATGCGCAGCAACTTTGAATATACCGGCCGGAAAGGACTCACACGCGTGCATCTACAAGTGATTATCTCCGTTTCACAGATGATCGGCAATGTGATCGGTTTGAATAACGCGCGCTTCCAAGAAAGTCTCTCCATGATTAACAGTTATGCTAATAGCGATAAAGCAATGAAGGGCACCGGTTTCCCAATGGAGGTTAAAGATCTAACGCGTCGCGTGCGTACCGTACTGATGGCCACCGCACAAATGCAGGCACATCACATGGATCCCGAGCGTTTACTCGAGCTACAGTATTCACTAGCAAACTCTTATGCTTCCACGCCCGAACTGCGCCACACCTGGCTCATTACGATGGCGCGCAATCATGAGCAAAATGGTAACATATCGGAGGCGGCTTGCTGCCATCTGCATATCGCTGCGCTTATGTCAGAGTATTTACGCTTACGCGGTGGCTGCAACATCAACTGGGGCGCTTCGTCCTTCAAAAAGATATCGCGTAATATACCGCGTGATGAGCAAGGTTTGAAGTTGGATGCAGGCGCTCAGGATTCGCAATACACCGAGCAGATGTTGTTGGATCAGCTGAAGCAGTGCGCTGATTTTCTCGATCGCGCCGAGCGTTTCGAGTGCTTAGGTGATCTTTATAAACTCATATTGCCAATGTATGAGCGCAATCGTTCGTATATCGAATTGGCGCAATCGTATGAGCATCTTATGCAAGCTTATAATAAAATCGTCGAAGTAAATCGTTCGGGCAAACGCATGCTGGGTCGTTTCTATCGTGTCGTGTTCTTCGGCATGGTAAGCGTGACTGATTTAATTTTTTATAGGTGACAGTATTCACGTTTTATTTATTATATTTAACAGATGTATTTTGAAGATGATCACGCAGTTGAATTTGTTTACAAGGAACCGAAACTTACCTCACTTAGCGAGATTTCAGAGCGCCTTTCGAAGCAATACAAAGAGAAATTCGGCGAAGATGTGGTCAAGATGATTATGGACTCATCGCCGGTAAGTCAAAAATTTTAGCCACAAATATATTATAATTTATGCAGGGGAAATAGAAATATGTTTAAGTTAAAACAGAAGGAGAATTTGAGCCACGTGTAAAAACGAATATTGAACATGAACTCTGAAATTTCTTGAATTTTGAACAAAACGTTTCTTAGCTTGTACAATATTTTGAAGATATAAAATTACTAATTTCAATGCGAATCTATCCATGGTACTGCGTAACTGCGTGGACGATTACGACCGACTCCGAGAGCACACAAGACAAAAAATTGCAGACTGGTTCATTTTCCACCAGTGAGTTTTCCGCACCTTACAGCGGAGTGTGTTTATTTCTTCCCAATTTATAACATTTATCGAGATCACAATCTTCACAACTTATTTAGAGCTTGATATACCTAACAGAAGATTTCAAAGACGAATGCAATTCGTTTCCACGTTTTAATCCGTGGATTACTTCGAGCTATGGACGCTTAAAATTTGAAAATTATTGTTCTGCCTCTGGTTTTGGTGAAATTTTTTGCTACCGCTTTGTGCGTTACTAAACAATAGTTATAGTCTGCTCAAACTTCAAGTATCCAACACTTTTGTGAGATTCTTGGTATACACCCTCAATTTGTAGTAATTAAACTCCCCCTAAATTTCTTGAATTTTGCAGACTTATCCAGCTTTTAGAAATATTTCCATTGCATTGAACCCGTCTTGATCAAAAACTGGATGCATAACTTTTTAGCATTTCCTCGACATACCAAGTATGGGCTTTACTTAAGATATTTCTATTCCAACAACACGAGAAAGCTTCATGTCATGATAGTCGAGATTGTGTTTCGCCTGTATCTCTCACCCAGCTCTTTGATCCTTCCTCCTTATGCTTACTTTTACGACATTTTATATCTTGATCTCAATTAAATGTTGACACACATTCAATAACTTTGCAAAATCTTGATAAATATCTGGTTTTGAGACAATTTTCTATATTTATTGTCCTTGAGAAGTAATATACGGCTGACAGTGTCTGTTGCTCAGGACAGAGGAAACCATTCCTAATAATCGACTATAATTTGTACTATAGCCTGTGTTTGATTACTGATTGTCACGTCTACATATTTAAAGGATTTGAAAAATTTTCTTTAGAAAATGTATCTCCCAGCTTTCGTCTTCAGCGGGCTTTTTGGTGCGTTTTCTCAAAATTTATTTCTTGCGGGCTTAGAGTGCACAATCCCATATAAGAATATGGAATAAAATTGTACAATTTTAGCATTATTTTTCGCTAAAGAAACTTATAACATAAAATTCATAAAACTTCTTCCAGAAATCTGCGACTTTTGTTGTTGTTAAAATATCAGTATTTATTACAATTTACAGATATATTTTTAATAGATTACATTTGTCATTTACTGCTTTGGCGCTGGTGCTTGCTTTGCATTTACAACAACAATAACAGCAACTACATAGTTGAAAAATTATGCTAATTCGTAGCAAAAAAGCTTAGGCCTTGACCTCTTCAAAATACAGCGCAACAATTCACTTGTGTTGTGTTTTCCATTTAGCAATTGTTTAATTAAAAAAATATATATGTTTTTTTATATTTTAAAAGATACGTTACTTAAACAAAAATTGTGACAATTCAATATTCGATTCGACATCATCGTTCGGAAATAGATTACGACGCTAAACAGGCGCAGCGACCAGCGAGGGTTTTACGCAACATGTGGGTTTTGGATTTGCGGGGCATGGACATATAAAATGAAAATACAAAAAAACACATTGACGCACAAAAGTTCACAGAAAAATAAAGTGAAAATAAAAATATAAAGTGAGGCTAGGTATTATTCCTTGATGCGCTTACCTTTTGCGCCTCATTCTGACGCAAAGTGGAGGCATGCGTGCCACGCGGACGTACTTTGCCCACCGAATCCTTGGATTTGGTCGCTGTGACTGTGGGTATGCCGGACTTTTCCAGCATGGCATTTGACGATTTGCTGACGAGCGACTTCTTGGAAGGTTGTGTGGTGGTTCTGCAAACAAAACAAATACGAGCTAGCTTTTATAGAATGCTGTAATGTATTTTTTACTTACTTCACAGCTAAACTTTGCTCTGTTGAGCTCACTGATTTCAGCGAGGTGGTATCTTTCGCGACGCCATGGTTGGCTGTTGAGACGCTGCTGGTTATGCGCGTTTTCGGCGCTTTATAATTCATGCCATTCGACTCGGTTGTTGCCCTGCTAAGCGCCGTGCGTACGCGTGCAATTGGTGGCCGCGGTATGTTGGTGACGCTGCGTGGCAATAGGCGGCTGCTGCCCTCAGTCTTCTTGCTATCCGTCTTCGGCTTGTGACCCATGGTGAGATTGTGTAGACTCTCCGAGAGACGCTTGGTGCGTGTCATCACCGAAGAGCTGCTGCGTGTCGATGTCTTCTCGCTGTGATGTGCACTATTCTTGCCACGCAAGCTCAAACTAATGCTCGCCAATTTGCGTAATGTGGTGCGTTTCTCAGTCTTCTTCTTATCCTCCTTCTCCTTGAGCAGCTTAACCTTGCCGAGACGTGATTTTCCTGTCGTGCTTTTACACACCTCATTTGGTGTTTCCGGTGGCGTTTCGGTGTTGCCACCAGTTGCTACATCATCATCCGTTTCATTTGTTAGCTTATCGCTTGGTTGTCGTTGTTGCTGCTGTGTATTATGTTCTGGCGGCACATCACCATCACCATCGCCTATGCCAACACATTCACATACACCATCCGTTTCGCATTCCACATCGCCATCACCATCACCGCACAAACTGTTGATTTCTTTTATTTCCTCTAAGATTTGTGGTAGTTCATGCGAAGCCTCTTCTTCAGCCAGTTCATTCTCTTCGCTCAGCTCACTGACTTCAACGGATTCGGTGTCTTCTTTACACTTGAATTCGTTGAGTGTTTCAATGGAGCTCTGATCGGAGTATTGCTCGTGATTCTCTTCATCACTTACGTTCTCGCTAAGCTCATTATTGCTATTCTCGCGTACAGTCCGCGGCTCTCCTTCGTCGCTCGCCACTTTTGTCTCAGCATTATTCAATTCCAATTGGTTGGATTTATTCGCTTGTGCGCTCACCGGCTGCAACATCGGTTCTCCCTCGGCATCCTCAAAGTCTGTGCTGTCCTCTTCAGAGCCTCTTACGTCGTCTTCGACTTGCTTCGTTTTTTTTTCGTTATCCAGGTTCAACTGCGTAACTGTAACTTTGCTAGCTAATACCAATGCTTCTTCTTCCTTCTTCTTCAATTTCACATCCAGGCCACGGCCACGGCCATTGTCATTATTGACTTTGACTGCTTCTCTAACGTTCGGCGCTTTTATTTCGTCCACAACTCGTATTGCATCGGCTTCTTTTGCTTTGACATCGTCTACTTGTTCCTTCAGCGCATTCACACCTGCCCCTATTTGATTTGATGTCGTTATGCTGTCGATTTTTATAACCTTCAAAACATTTGCATTGTGCGTCAGCTGTAACGGCTGCGTAAGCGCATTACCCCCGCCGACGTCGCCAATTTCTCGCATAATTTTCTGTCGCAATAAATATGAGGGATAGAATTCCTTGGCGTCCGGATTTAACCTGGATGTAATTTTGAGTCCATTGGTGGAAATAATCGTGCCACTTATCGGCGGTGGCAGCTTGGTTGTTTGCTCTGTTTCTTTATTTGTCATTTCTATGGGCATATCGGCGGCTGTTTGCATCTTACCTTCTACTTATTTTCGGCGACCTCTGTAAACTGCTTCGATTCAAAATTCACTGCTAACTTAGTTTCTGCTTTTTCTGCCGTGTCTCAATTACTTTTCAAAAACTCTCTCCTGACTGCCCGAAATGTTTTGTGGAAAATTTTCGTCGACTGTCGTCGTTGACTTTTTCTTGCGCGTTTTTTTGGTCGTTCGGCAGTCGTGTTGATCGGTCGTCGAAAAGCAGAAATTATACGTTCTCTGGTTTTGTTGTTTTTAAAACGAATTTTATAGGATTTAAAACTGAAGTAAAAAACGTAGAAATTTAAAAATTATCTTGTCAAATTTCGAACCAAAAAATTAATTCTTTTCGGGAAAATATTTACCAGATTTGTGAAATGATGCTTGTGGCAAAGTTGTATGTCATAGTAATTGAAAATACAGTTTTTTTTTATATGTGCGAAGGTATCAGTATTTCGTAGAGATTAAAAAAAATTTATTTACATGCTTACATATATACACATACTTTTATAAATATATTATGTACTTTTATAAATATATTATATACTTTAATAAAATACAAGGGTTGTTCGAAGAGTTTGTGATTACATTTTTTGTTGACGTTTTTTTTTTAGCCATACTTTTGGATTATTGAAAATAATAGAAATCGTGAAATACCAAAAACTGATTGAGATCGATATAGAGTTATATATAAAACAATGATCGAGATAGATATAGAGTTTTATATAGAAAACTGATCAGGATGGCCAGACAGACGAATTGAATTCTGGCTGACTCTCTGTCCGCCCGTCCGTATAAGCAATAATTGGATTAAAAATTGAGATATATTAATAAGTCATAAAAGAAGTTTAAAAACTCTCTAAAAAACCACGTAAGTGGCATTAAATTAGACCGTAAAATCGATAGGTAGGTTTACAAAAAAATTTGTCCTGCGAATCTTATTCTTCTGACAAACTACGGGTACCCCCACTTTTATGTGAGTCCCATACCTCGACCAAATTTCAAATAAATTTGTTGCAAAACATTATCTAAATATCTTTATATTACAGTTTGACATTAGGCGAAAGCGGTGCAGCTACTCCTTTCTTCCCATGTAACGCAATATTTAATTTCATCAGAACCTTTCAGTTTACCATATAAAACACCGATAATGCCTTCAAGGTGTGACACCTTTCATCTAAGAATGATCGAAATCGGACCAAAACTTTGAGGTCCGCGGACCTCGGTGTTTATAACTAACGTTACCTAAATATCAGTCAATCTGTAAGATATCTTAATGAAATGGGCATTTTTTCTGATAATAATGTGGCATATTACTAAAGGTTACTAAAATCGGTTCAGTACTTCCCATAACTTTAATGTAAGAATATTTAAACTTAAGACAAAGTGGATGAGTGTTAAAAAGAAATAAGATTTTGAATTGAGTTAATTTTAATATAAATATTTAAATTATAAAATATATTGTGATAAAGAAGTTTTTATGAAATCTCGTACTGCCATTTTTTTCTATTTCCAGGTGGATCCTAATGCGCTCGATCCCAAATTGGCCTACATCCAAGTCACCCACGTGATACCATTCTTTAGCAAGGAAGAGCTCGATCAGCGCCTAAACGAATTCGAACAAAATCACGATGTCGACACTTTTATGTACGAAACACCATTCACGAAATCCGGTGCAGCGCGTGGCAGCGTCGAGGAGCAATGGAAGCGCAAAACGGTCATCAAAAGTAAGTCCATTTACTTAAAAACACACAATAATCTTTTTATGCAAGTCCATCTCTGCTTTTTACAGCCACCTACTCCTTCCCCTATGTGCTGAAACGCATACCGGTAAAATCACGCGAAATCATCGAGCTGAGCCCCATAGAGGTGGCGATCGATGAAATGCAAACGAAGGTTTCAGAACTCGAAGAGGTCATACTGCCGCCCGCCGATGTTAAGAAGCTGCAGTTGCGGCTGCAAGGCAGCGTCGCGGTTACTGTTAATGCCGGTCCACTCGCCTATGCGCAAGCATTTTTGGATCCCAAAATTGTGAGCAATTTTTCGGTAGATCGTGTGGAAGATTTGAAGGATATTTTTAGGTGAGCGAGTTGCTTATAAACAGGTAACGGTATGTCTGTATAAACTATTTTTGTAATTACTTCTTGCAGAGACTTCGTCAAGGTCTGCAATACGGCGCTGCAGTTGAACGCGCGCATGATCAGCAACGATCAAGCCGAATATCACAATGCGCTCACCGAAAATTATCGCAAACTGTGTCAGGCGCTTAGTGAGCTACTTGGTGAGCCGTTTCAACCTTTGGATGATAGCGTCACTAGCGGGCAACGCAATAGCATGGCTTTGTTTAATGCAATCAGTGGCGCTTCGCAAAATTCAAGTACTGCCTAAAATTTGCTAAATACAAATTAAATTAGAAACCAGAAACTACGCACACAAATGCACACACCTTCACACACACACATACATACATATATACACAATACGAATGATGTGTATTAGTAAATTTTAGTTAAAAAAAATCTATAGCAAAGCTAACTTGACTAGAATTTCGTTATTTTAAGCAACTAACCAAACTAAAATTAACCAAAAATCTAAAAAAAAACTATAAAAAAATTAATAACTATTGGTAATAAATAAAAAGCTGTGTGTCTCTATGTGAGTTGTGCGGCTTTATAACACTCATTCAGGTGTTTGGGGAACGTTATAAACGTATGTATGTATTCTACAAAATGCTGATTGAACGCTTGATTTATGCCACATGCAAGATAATACTTTATCACGCCAATGCAATATTTTTTCTCTGGGCTTTGGGAGCGTCGGCAAATGGTGATTAATTAATACCAAATTATTAATGGTTTAATGTGTCTATATGTATGCGCTTTACTAACCAGACTATTTGAGGTGTGCAAACATTTTGTCGGGTTATGATGATGGTGGAGTGATTGTTTCAAATATATAAAATAAATTTAATTTTTCTGTTGCATAAATTTTGAGTATCAATAAAATATTATATATAATATACAGATATAAATTATAATTATATTAGACATATATAATATGTATAAATATTGTATATTAGCTATACATAAACCATATAATTATGTCTATATATGCTTAAAAATTTATTTATATGCACATACTTATATATAACCTAGCTATTTCAATTGCATTTTGACTTCTAAGTGTCTTAAGTATAATTAAGTATTATGCATTTTATTCAGTTATATAGTATTATTATAATATCAATACACACTATTTACTAAAGTCGTTATATAACCGCATAAAGCAAGGAAAATGTGTTGTTTAGAAAATTCGTATGATGTGCTAAAGCATTTAATGAAAATCAAGCCAAAGATTATTATCTAATAATTAGCTAATTTAGTATAAATAACATAAATAATATTGTATTAAATATTTATGCATATAATAATTAAAAACTTGATATATTTCAGAGCAGAGTTGCGAATTTTTTCATTCAAAGGTTTTGGATTAAAAATTAAGTAAGACCTGTAGGATTTCAGTTTAAAAAGTTAAAGCTGAATATAAAAAAATCTCAACAGAAAATTTAGTAAAGGCAAAATTTTGTTTAGCCAAATTATGCAAAATGTGTGTATATAATATCTATATTTACTTTTTATTTATTATGCTACTTATATTTCAATGTAGGAACGGTGCAGCATTAAATCTAAGAGAGAAAAAATTTTATTATTAATAATTTAAAATTCGCCATTTATATTCTTAAAAATTACATGTGAAAGCAACAACGAGGTTATGTAGTTAAAATATATACAGGACAGCATGTGAGCTTCTCATTTAAGTGGTATAATTGCTTTCGAATGCATTTCTACTTGATTTATGCCAGTGGTCTGTTCGATTTGCCACTTTCCAAGAGTCGAAGAATGCAAGCTAGTTTCTAAGGAATTACTTCTCTCAATCGTTGATATTTATTTAACAAATAATATGTAAAATTTCGTAAAAAATATATTTTATAAATATATTTTCATACTTTCAGCTAAATTTAAGACACCACTACCACTAAACATATTTACTATCCCTTACCAACACTAAATTATCATAAGTCACTAACACCTCGTTCGTTCGTTTGTCTCGCTAACGCACAATTTATTTACATTATATGTGTTTTTTTTTGTTTTGTACAACTCATTACATCTTCATTAATGTGTTTTACGATTTTTTCTAATTCTAGGTTTTGGTTTTGCAGTGTATTAATTTATAACAAAAGCAACACAGTCACAAATAATGCAATAAAAATAAGAAACAAACACCCATACAATTACACCAACACAATTACAAGCAAAAAGTGCGACTTAATGAATTTACAACAATAATAACATGATTGACACGCATATGTAATACATACATAGGTAAAATGCATATGCAAGCAAAACACAATAGCTAAAGGACAAGCAAATACGAATCGAGTATCGAACAAAAATTTAATACAACTACAACAAAATATCTAACCAATACAAACATAGAAACACAGCAATGTATGTGCTTATGCAGTAAGCAATGCTATTTGAAGAAGCGCTTTGGTTATTTGGCGTATAAAATATTTTTGAATATAAAATTATATTAAAGGATATACATATATACTTGGTACACAAACAACAACAAAAACACTAAGCGTTTGTAGTACTACCACATATTTGTTTTATATATTTGTTCGCTTTAATTATTTATACATGTATGCAAATATATTTTTTATAATTTTTTACACTTAAGGCTTAGCACGCATTTAGCTATAACAAATTGCTTAACTTTAAATTTTGTTGAGGAAATAGTGAGCTGGTTAATTATTTTTTTGTTATTAAAATTATAAAAAAAAATATGTTTCTTAAAAAAGTACACATAAAAAATGGTATTGCATTTAAATCACAAAACACTTAACAATATACAATGCTAACTTTAAGTTAAAATATAAACAAATTATGAAGTTTTAGCTACACGCTAAATATGGTAAATACGTATGTATCTAATAAAAGTATTTATTTATTTTTTCGTAATTATTTATTATATATTAATATTATTCGAAATTTGTTTTAAATTGCAAATAATGTTTAGGCATATACTATATTATATAACTACATACATTTTTGTTTTAAGATAAATTATATAAATATGTATACATACATTTATATAAATATAATATAGTATAAATAAGTATGTACGTTTCCAATATTATAACTACCTTTATTGATATGTAATTTTTTTTTTTTGGTTTTTGTAAATATTAAACATATATAATATAATATAATATTATTATTTTTTATTTATTAAGTGTACATGTATATTGCTTTAACTGTTTATGTGCGTATCAAAAACTCGACTTTATTTTATATACACATGAAGTGTTAGCTATCGGAGCTTGCGCGAAGTGAAAGCGGTTTATGGTAGCAGTCAAAATTTGTAAATGGTTAAACCTAGACAAAAATGTTTGAACGTTTGAAAGAAATACGAAACTAATATATAATAATAATATTTATTCATTGTTTAATAGCGCTGCAATAAAAATATTATGGCATGATTACAATGTTGATCAAAATTTAATGTTATTGGAATTATAAATCTAAAATTCTGTAAATTGCGCAAAAATGTTGAGAAAATGGGAGCATAATACAATTAAAGCACTTTTCACAAAAAACAAATCAAATTGCCGAAAAAGTAAAAAAATTTAAAACAGTTTCAATATGCTAAATAAAAAAAGCAAAAATTAGAAATAATTTATGGCGTCATAAAAAATAACTTCCACATAATTTCAAGTAAAAAAATAAGTTTTAGCATTGATTTCTAAATTAGATAAAAATTAAAATGCACTGTGTAAAATTTATATATTTTGAAGAAAATTTGACGGCAAAAATGCTTAATAAGTACATTCTATGATTAAATTTATGCAAATATGAACAATAAGAAAATCTGGAGAGTAATTCAGCCAAATTTTTTACTAAATATAAAGAAAAGAGAGTAAGAGAACCAGTTATAATATGTGATTTTTTTTTTAAATATTGGCCAAAAACTCTTTGCTGTCTGTTCTCTTCTCTTTATTTTATGTTATAAAAAATTTTTGAATAATAATTACCAAAAATTTACGACTTCAAAATTCAAATATATATATTCAATATATATGTGGGTAAAATGTACATTAAGGTAAAAACATTTTTTTTTTTCGTTTGATGCTCTGAAAAATAATTTTTCGATTAAGTAATCATTTACGAGGAGATATTCATCGTCAATAACCAATAAAAAAACAAATAATAAAGAAAAATACAAAAAATTATAAACCATTTTTGTAGTGCAGTAAATTTCTTACTATAAATTTTACAATACAAAAATAAATTTTTTTAAATTGATATCAAAGAATTCATAAGAAAAAAAATTTGCATTAAATAATCAAACTTCAACCGTTAATATCTTTTAAACGGTTAGGTTTGTGAAAAAATCATACTGGACCTTTTTTGTGGATCAGTAAATTTCCTACAAAATGTATGAAACGTTATTTTTTCAAGTAGTTAGAAGCGATACTTAAATTTTTCCATCTGATAATAAAAAATAAATAGAGAATTGTAAGCCGAAGTACCTTCTCGTTACAATTAAGAGCTCATGCTTGAAGAGACTTTTTAAGAGGTGTCTAAGAACCTATTTCTCTGAGTACCAAGCGAAAGGAAATATTCGTTTTCTTTGACCTACTTAATGTATATGCATATATCCTTGTCCATGTCTTTAATAAATGTTTAAACTTTTTTGAGTTCTGTTTTTGCAGTCTAAAATATGATTTTCAAAAATAATTTGCACAAAAAATCTAAATTTATTTCCGCTGCCAAAAACAATCCCAGCATTAATGTTTGTTTCCATACAAATTCGATACGAAACGCAGATCATGCCTCACGGCTTAGCAATATTTATAAAACGCGCTTTTAAACAAATTGTATTTATTTCATATTAAAAAACTTTTAATATTTAATATTTGCACTTATCTGCTTCGAAAAAATTAAAAACAAAAAATCTTTGTGAACAAATTGTGTCACCAGTTTTTTTTCTAAAGCTTTTTGCATTATTTATATACATATATATTCATGCCGTTAAACTGCGTGAACTGCGTATGATTTATAAATACAAAATTAAAAATAAAATAAAATTTTAACAAAACTCTAAAAATAAAAATAAATTACAATAACAGTAACAAATATTCGAAATATACTCGCTAAAGTAATGATAAATATACATATTACTCTATACGAAATTATAAATAAAAATTATATCGAAATGATGTATTTAAAAAAAAAAAAATTGTTTAATAATAAGCAGCAGTTACTACTAAATTATAGAAATAATAGCGCAGTACTCGAAACTATTCAACGATAAATTACCAAAGTATTGGAATAAACTAGAGCAGTAATCCATTAAATTTAACGACTTACTAGAAACAACCGCAAACTGGCAGCCACTTACGTGAAAACTGTATGTATGTTTGTAGCATACCTGCAAAATACTTTATACTCCATAGATATATAGTAAATGTGTAACTAAACTCTATATTTACAACAACAAAATAAATAGCAAATAGTTGTACATTTTTCTTTTGATAATTGTAGTAATAATTACCATAGTGCATGTGTATGTGCACATAAAAATGATTTAAAAAAAATTAAAAAATTATTAATAATAAAAAATAAATGTTTAAAAACTGAAAAAAATGCGTTAACTCTAATCTACAAGAAGAACATCAATGAATAGAGAAGGAGCAAATGTTAAATGAAATCTTTTTGAGTACTAATTTGTAATTCCAAAAATATAACTTCGAAAAAGAAAAATACACCACACAATATGCGAAATGCTATAAATAGACACAACGAATATTCCTAAATGAAAAATCGTTGCGCATACCTATTTAGATTTATGTTTTCAATTTCTATTATATGACAAAATTTATAATTATGAAAAGCCTTCTGAATTAAAAATCTGTATTACCAGAGAATGTTGATGAATAGAGAAGGAGCAAATGTTAGCAGTACTAAAATGTTAATTGCTAAGAAGGAACATCGAAAACGCGCAAGTTCGAAAATAAAATGTCACCACAGCTGTCAATTTACGCAACGAACTACACCACTCTATAAGCAAAATGTATATACATACATATGCACAAATGTTCTTTGATATGCGCATAAACAAAAATTGAAATAATAAAAACGAAAGAAATTGACTTCTGACGGGAAAATTTAATAATCAGGGAAATAATATTAAAATAGAATTCAAATATCAATTCATAAAAAAGGGTTATAAAAATAAAAAAGGACTATATAATATATGATTGGATCATTAACATTCTCTGGCGACGGTGAGAAAAGTTTTTTGCGATGCGCCTATGCGTATGCAGCATTTCAGCAGCCTAGCGGGAAAAATTAGTAGTAACGGAAGTTTATCATGTCATGTCACGCCTACGCATATGCAACATTTTAGCGGATGAGCAAACAGCTGCGCAAGAAAAATATTACTCAAATAAGCCAAATTGCATCAGGCGCGCAGCAGTCACCAGCAAGTGATACCGGATACTTGCACATGTATTGCGCTTTTGCATATGCAACAGTTTTTTATTTCCGCCGATGCAAACAGAGAAACACATTTAATACTAATGCAATGATTTATTTTCATTTTACTATACATATTTAAATACTCATGTACATATTTTTATTATTTTAAAAACTTACAAATATAATTTTTGTATTTTTTATAACTTTTTTTTAACTTTTATTATAAATTTCCAATTAATTTTAATTTGTTTGTGTTATTGATTACAGTTAGTTAAATGCATTACCCTCGCTAAACGAAAAAAAATCAGCCGAAATGTACAAAATCAGTAAACCAGAATATTTTATATATAATAAAATAGGGGTTATTTACTCGTATAAATACATATCTATGTACTACATACATAAGCGCGTGTTACTAGGCAACTTAGCGGTGTCGAGAAGGCATAACAACGACAAATGTGCGACAAATTTGTTTTCTTAGCAAATCGAGAATAATAATACAATAAATTTGAAATATTTTCAATAAACTTTTTCGATTTATTTTTAATTTTAACATAAATTAATTTCAAATTCCACTTAAAAACTAAAACAGAGTTTTGTTCAAACCTTAGAAAATTTCTTGCCAATTGAGAAAAAATCTGTAAGCCTTAAACCAAAACTTTACAAATAATAATAAAAATAAATCATAAACATAAACAAAAACAGCAACAAAGGTCACGTTCCACAAGTCACCAACCACATTACGATCAAGCATCCACAACCATTACTGCACAATCCATTCCATGACAAACTAACAGTAAAACCAACACATCCGCAATCATTCGTAGCAACCAGTGACCGCCACCTTACAGACGAATACCAGCATTGCGCGAACGCACAAAGTTCAACAACTCGTCGGAGTCCTCGCACACGAACGGCTTCAAATGATGGCAAGCCACATCGTGCCACTTGAGTCCATCGTTATAGAAGTTATTCAAAATCGACAAGCACGATTCGTCGTTGCCCTGTGCAGCCTCACGATTGTCCGGTTGTGGTTGATTGTAGCCGCCAGTGTGTGACCAATCGCCGGTGTTGCGCTGCGAGGTGGGTCCGATTTTGGCACCCGAACCAGACCAGAACCAGCCATTCTCATTTGGCGGCTGCAAGTCGGGACGATCACAGCCAGCGAAATTGCACTTACGACCTGAAGTCCAGATGTAACGCACGTTGCCACGCGCTATACGCTGTTTGATGAATTCATTCTCCTGTGGTGTTTCTAGCGAAACGGCGTCCATGCAGTGGCGACGGCAAATGTTGCGCGCATCCAACCAGTCGACTTCGAGACTGCGTGTCGGCGCATGCTCCCAACTAAAGAAGTACGAGTGGGCAACGCCGCGCGCATCACGGTACGTGGCATGGCGAACACCTGTGTAAAGTGGGTGAGAAAATGTGTAAACATTGGGTTAGACTAAGACTGGAAGTAGCAGAGATTGCGCTGTTTGTTGATGGCATAGAATGACGCTTGAACTGAATTGTTAAGAAAGCTCTCAAAAATTCTGAAAAGAATTGTTGTAAGATATGGTGCCTATTGAATCTAGCACATAAAAGTATTACAAGCCTGCAGCTATCTGAGATTATTCTCAGATGAGACTCAACCTACGATACCGACTACATTTCTTGAAGGCAGTGAAGCGTAAAGGGTAAGTAACTCCTCTATGGATGCCTGGCACTGTTTAAATAAGCATTTGAAACTGCTTAACTAGTTTCGTGAAGATTGAAGCCTAGATCAACGTTAAAGCTGGTCACTTTGGAATCTCTACGACCAAGAAATTTCAGTTCATTTACTTGCAAGAGCTGAGTATAGAGTTTACATAGGTTTCATGGCTTCAAAAAAAAAATTTTTTATTGTCTTATTTAATTCCATAACATCTCTGAAATATTATCCTAAATTTTCAAGTTGATACCACTCTTAGTTTTGGAGAGTCAGCTATATAGTCACCTAAAACTTTAAACGCGTTTTTCTCGAAACATGTTTTTGTAAAAACGTCTGCCGAAAATGCAATTTTCATTTTATTTGTTTTCTCTCCAAGTTAATTTCTAGCTAATGGTCTTAGTTCAAACACGTTTTTTTCTTTTTACTTTTGATGATCCTGCCAGAAATTCTGCTGTCAACGCGGAAGCACCTTTTTTCCGAGGGACTGCCGAAAATGACGTCGCAATGAACGTGTTTTGAATATTTTCCTTTCACAATTTGAAAAAATCTTTAGCAAATATGTATCTTCAAAGTAATATAAAGTTTGAATAAAATATTTAATTTTTTATATGAAAAAAAATTATGGAAAATAGGTCGTTTTTTACTCGACGAAACCCATTAAACCCCTTAGGTTAAGGTTTTAATGAAATATTCTCTTTTTTTTATGGAGTTAGCGATATTTGAGCCTTATACCTACTTGAATCAACTATTTTTTCGACGAAGTTTAAAATTATATAAATATTTTTTTCTAAGACAGTCTTTCCCAAGCAATTTGATGCATCTTTAGTAGCTGTTCAGCCGCAGTTTTAAACATCAGATACTCATTACTTGATGAGTAGTTCGCCAGCTTCTCAAAGCATCTCTGGAGGCCCAACCAACAGCATTGCTCATAAAAAATTATTCAAAAAAATATCACTTAAGTACTTACGATTAGCACAACTCCGTGGATCCGGCAACGCTAGACGACGTTGAGCCAAGGCGACAGTGGCACCGAAAGCCAGCAACAATACAGTACGTAACAGCGACATCTTTCGTGGTTTATTTATTAACTGTCGTACACTTCTTGGAGCTGCGAGAGTAGAGTAGAAGAAAAAAAGCAAAAAACAAGTGATTAGCTTGACGTCTCAAATCAAAATGAGTGCCATAATCATCAAGCGAAATCGCCAAAAATATTTTGAGCAGCGCTTTGATACGTACAATATGCATGTGTGTGTGTGTAAACAAATATTTACAATGCAAAACAAAGCGTCTAATGAAGTAATTTACGAATTGAAGTGTGCTTAAATGAGCGACTAATTTGGCTAATTTGGAATGCACTATTACATTAATGTATATATATATATATATATTTGTTATTCACAGATATATATTCTCTATATTTGAAAATTTATGTATGTGGGTGCATTTGTTTAGCTTTTAACGGATTTTCCTCTTTTTTGTGAACCAACAGCACACACCCAGTTCACACGCTTCATTGGCGTTGCTGAAAGCCGGCATATTGTTTTGTAAACACAGAGCAAATGATAATCAAAAAAGTGAAAATAAAACTGGGTTGGCTGAAGGAAAGTCAATTTTTTGGTGTAGCCAATTTTGTTTAAATCAAGCAGCTAGACGAGCGCGCTTTTCATTTTTATTGAATATGTATTTGCTTTTACCTAACGTCTAACTGTTTTGAAGGTATAATACGTTTTTTAAATAAATTTTAGGTTTTAATATAAAATACTGAGATCAAAAGGCTGAAAAGAAACTACCATATTTTTTATTAGATATAAGAATAAGAACAAATTTTGCTTACTGAAGAACAGCATTGGCTAAAAGCGTTGCCTACATTTCAGCGCAAAGTTAACAACCGATAAATAATAGAGCGGTACTAGGTGAACCGAATACGTTTTTTTACTTTTAACACGTCGATAAATGAGTTTACTACACGAAAGAAAAATTATTAGGAATCAAAATAATATATATTTAAAAAAAATAGCATAATCCATATCTGCTCACTGATTACTTTCACACTGCAGCTACGTGGAATTTAAGTTCGGTGACAATTGAAGAAATTTATCGTGAAATATACTGCATTTTAGCGCGAATACTTTGCTACGCTTTGTTCCCTAAGAGTTAATGGTTTACTCTGGAAAAGTATATTTTTAAGCTGGGCTCTAAAAATTCCATTGGGTATAAGTCTGTGCGACGAAATGGCTAGTAATGTCATATAATACCGTTATCGACCAGCCTTTGCCTATAATTTCTGTATGTGATTTTTCTCATTCTTTTGCTTCTATGCCTCTTTATTTATTTATTTATTTTGCCAACGTAATTGTGTTCCAGTTTTGAGTAATTCTGACTACTCCATTGAACTGTGATTTTATTACCTCGATAAATTTTGTACTATTTATTAGCGAGGCTTTATTTGTGCCCTGTTTGTTGTTGCTACTTCGTTTTTATTTATCTATTTGCTTTCTACATGCATTATTTTTCACTGTAATTTGCATTGGTCTACTTATTTAATTGGCGTTAATTGTTTTGGAGCTTTCAAGCAAACGCGCTTTGGCCACGACCTACCCCTGGGCACGGTAAGTCAACAAAAAAGAAAATTTAAGTGTATAAAATAACCAAAAAATAAAAACAATTAAGAAAAGCGCAAAAATGATGACAAATAGAAATGAAAATTTAATCTGAATAAAATGAAAAACAAAAACCGAATCACTAAATACTGCATAAAAAACTGCGCTTTTGAAAAAATTTGAATAAATAAAAAACTCTACTTTTCTAAAACTATAACTCATTTAATGACACGAACAGTTCATTAGCGCAGACAAGCCGACCTCAAATGTGGCAATTTGTCGTTTTATGTAAATGCGCGCCAAGCCAAATGTGGGGTTATAATGAACGAATGCAGCACTAAGCTGAGCGCACGAGTGCAAAAATATCGTTAAAACTAGTAGTTAAATGCGCAAAATAAAAATAATAAAAACAGAAACGTGAGAAGTAGCTTACAGCAAATAATTGCTTAGGAACATCTGGACCAAGATTATTGCAACAAGCCATTAAGCGCAAGCTATTAAGTCACATGCAGGGTCAACACTACGCTATGTGTTATGTAAATGTGTTGCAAGATGTTTTATTTTGGTTTTAAACTTTTTTTTTTTAATAATTTTTATTTATGGCAAGTGTTTGCTGGTAGTTAACAACTTATATAGCAGTATAGTTTGGTCCACAGATACATTGTGGCGATTTTCCTCTAGTGTATTTATTTTCTTATTAAAATTTATTAACTTTTTTAGTATATTGCGGTTTATATTTTTTACAATAATTTTTTAAAAATTGAATATATAAAAAAAATTAAGGCGATAAGAAATAAAAAAATATATAATATTATTTAGTAAATTCGATTTATAAACAATAAAAGATAAGTAAATAATAATTTTATTTAAAGAGAACTTATTTGATTTAAAAAACAAAATTTAAAGAAATTATAAAAATCAAAACGATAAAAATGTAACATTTTTATTATTTATTTATAGTAAATTCGATTTAAAAAAGTAAAAGTAAAAGTATAAGTTTTTTTTAAAAGAAAAAGTTTTTTAATTTGAAAAAAAAAATTTTTTTTCTGGAAAAATTATTAAAAGAAAAAATTATTTCATATGAAAAATATATATTGTTTTGGAAAAAATTATAAAAAAACGATATATGTAATATTATTATTTAGTTTTAGTAAATTATGATAAAAATATAAAAGTTGAGTAAAAACATTAGCTTTTTTGAAAGAAAAAATACTTTAATTTGAAAGAAATGTTTTTTTTTTTGAAAAATAAATCGAGAAATGTGTAAAATTCTAATTTTTTAATAAAAAATATTAAATTTGCAATTGTTAATTTGAATTTTGTAAGTAATTGTTTTTTTTTTACAATTAAGAAATTAATTTTTTTTAAATAAAAAATGCTAATGTAATTTATTGCACGATACTTATTAAATTCATAAGCGTTTCAGATTAATTTTTTAGGTTAGCAAATTCGCTATGCTAAAAAAAGGACAATATAAATAATTTTAATAACTTATTAACTTTAATATATTATATTTATAATATTTTTGCAGAATATGAATAAGTGAACTATTTATTAATTGTGTCTGACTTTTTTAGATTTGTATAATCTTTTCATTTGCTTCACTCTGCATTCATAACTTTTGCCCGCGCCTCCACTGTGCACACAGCATTAGGTACAGTCTTTTGTTTTCAAATTTAAAAAATCTTACACGTTTCAAGATAAATCTTACCATATTGCAAAATTGGAAATTTATTTAAAATTTTATGTAATAAAGTTTGGCTTAAAAGTTTGTGTTACGTAAGCTCAAGCAAATATATTTCCCTCTCTCATCTCAGCAGGAATCAGCAGACCAAACAATTTAAGTAACATTTTCAAATACTTTTTGGTTCGTTTTAGCAAAATTGCGCAACTAACGAACGGTACTTGAATGAAGCAAATGGTTAGCAAAGCGTGGCACTTAAGGAAAATTGATTTCGCCATGAATATGGATATTAGCAAATTGCAGCAAGTGGCGGCTGTTTATGTTTATGCTACCGATACCACCAAATCGCATTTTAGAGAAGCTCTTTTGCATAAATACTGCATGTCTATACTAGATATGCACCGTATATTTAGGCGTTTCCGCCGTTAGATTATTGCATGCGTTGCATTCATGCTTGAATGGAAATTCTGCATGAAAATTCACTTTTAAGCATATCTTGCCCGGCTCAGTTACATAATTAGTGGAAAATAGCAGATAATAGTAAAAAATACTCAATTTGGTAGGCACAACCAAAAAGAAAATGTGGTGAAGCAGCAACTTCCGTCATTGCAGGCCATTAGTAGACGTTAAGTTTCTTATGTTGTAGCTACAACAGATATGAAGAGTTTTGTATATATGGTAAGCTTGCTGGCGCACTAACAGCTTCTCGAATGGCATAAGGCAGACATCAAGTGATGCTTATGTAATGAGCTTGGCTTGTAAGAAAACGTAATTTAAGTAGCGACTAGGAAGTCACTTAAACTCCCACGAAAAATGATTTATGGTTGAAGAGAATTCGATGTGCTTCTTCGACTATTTCCAAACCATACATTTTAGGACACTTGATGGTCAGTTCATCAGTTTTTAAGTAGAACTATCTTTGTTACGTTATTAATAACTATAAAATATCGAAAATTATTACCGCTATATAAGCCGTTCTTAAAGAAATGCCAAGCGACTAGTATACGTAACATTAGAAATTGTATGAGGCTAGCCAAGGCTGAATTTAAATAACTGCATTGTTATCATAATTAAATATAAAGTATTTAAATTTACTTTTAATTGCTTTGCATATACCACGCTACTTATGGAAATTAAAAAAAAAAAAAAATTAAAGAAAATTTAGGTTAGGTTGGGTCATTAATCATTAGCAAAATTTAGACTTAAAACCAGTAGCACAGCAGTTAAGACATCGGTGTGGGTTGCTGTATTAAGCTTGGTTACAAATTAGGTAAAAAAAATGATAGCACTTTAATCATCTTGGAATTGGTGAGACAAATTAGAAAAAAAAGATGTACGAGTAATACTATAGAAATAATAAAGAAATTAAGCTCAAAGGTTATAAAGCTTAAAAAATAAAATATAAAAAATTAATTTTTATTTTTAGTTAATGGTATTTATAAGCGGCTTTGAGGCTATATAATCACAAAAATGTCAAAATATTATAAAATTAAAATTTTAATCAATTTTAAAGGTTGCACAAATTTTTTTTGTTAATTTTACAATTAAGTATTGTATATGTATTCTAATATATCGTATGTCTGTATAAATGATAAATGAAAATCTCTTTAATGAAATTTAATCGCTTATTATTTCTTTTACTATTCGCTGATATGTCTATAAATCGCACGCATGTCAAAATGACAATCCATATTAAGATGTGTGGTAACATACCGTTTGTCTGACTAACTGATCAAATACTGAAATGTTGCTCTGACTTATTTGGTTAAACAACTTTGTGAAATTCGGTTGGGTTTATGTTGATTATGAAATATATAAATATGT